ATGAGGGCAGGGGACTGGACTTGATGACGTCTCAAGGTCCCTTCCAGTCCTAGTATTCTATGATTATATACATGGATTTTCTGAAACTACACTAAACTGTAAGGTCTAAGGTTTTAAACTGCAACTCATTGTGATCTTTCTCAAACTTTGTAATCTTTGTAACTCTCTTGTAACTTTCTCTAAGCTGCATTCTCCCCTGAGTGAATGGGGATGTGTTTGAAGAAGACTGGGAACAATGGACCACATGGAAGTGAGTCATCACAATCTGGACATGCTCCCTTGAGAAGGAGGTGAATGAGTCACAGGGGCAATTCAGACACAATATAAGGAGAGGGAGCATATGTGAGACTCTCTCTTTCTTCCCTTGCTCCTAAGAAACTCCTCTCCAGTGTCTCTCCTCCTTACTAGCTTTCCCAGACAGACCCTCCAGAATCTACATGCCTTGGCTTCTTCTGCAACCCATATGCCTGTGTGAGTGCCTGAGCACAGGAGTGAGTGTGAGTGTGTGTGTGAGAGAGAGATCTGTATCTTCTTTAATTTAAACCTTTGGTGGCTGCTCGCTCCTCTTTAGTATTACCTAGTGCAAATTAACCCATACTAGTGTAATCCTGGGTGGTCTCCAGTGAGAATATTTTTGGGGTAACACTGTCCAGTACTTGTCTTATGGCATAGAGGTTTCTGATGCTGAATCCTTCTCACTTCCTTCCAAACTCTATTTTATTGGACATCAGGATCCTTTTCCTCCTTTGGGTAGTTTTAGTTCTTCTTTTGCTCTTCCCAAACAGCAGCCTACTAAAACTAGCTTGCTTCTTGTCAGTTTCACACTTGCTCACAAAGTTAGGAATAACAGCAATTAAACTGAGCAGAAATTACATTTTCATTCCTGTACTGCTACTTTTGAGAGCTGAGTTGTAACAGTAACTCTGAAGCTGTTTATAGATTTAGGAACAAAGCACTACATGGCTATGTCTACATTCGCGGCTTCTTGCACGAGAAATATGCAAATGAGGCTAAGCATGGAATATTGCCGAGCCTCATTTGCATACCTAATGAGCCTCCATTTTTTTGCAGAAGCGGCTCTTGCGCCAGAAGGAGCTGTCTACACTGCCCCCTCTTGCGCAATGCGGTTATTCCTGAAAATAATTGGTGTAACGGCATTGCGCAAGAGGGTATTTCTTGCGCAAGAAGAGGCAGTGTAGATAGCTCCTTCTGGCGCAAGAGCCTCTTCTGCAGAAATGGCAGCTCATTAGATATGCAAATGAGGGTTGGCAATATTCCACGCTTAGCCTCATTTGCATATTTATCGCGCAAGAAGCCGCGAGTGTAGACATAGCCCATCAGTTTGTTTAGAAGATTCACAAGTATAAGGACTGCTAACTTATTTTTTTTTAAATGAGGGCCTATTTTTGGGGCATCTGATGGCTTACATAGTGGTTACTCCTCTAGAAAAAATTCTTGCAACTGACAAATGATTTTTTTTATTGGAAGGAGAACAAATATTCATTGGCAAACAAGTAAGAGAATGATAATGGTGTAATTGTCAACACTGTGTCCCTGTAGCCGAGAAGGCAAATGGCATATTAGCGTGCCTTAGGAGCAGCATTGCCAGCAGATCTAGAGAAGTGATTATTCCCCTTTATTCAGCACTGGTGAGGCCACATCTGGAGTATCGCGTCCAGTTCTGGGCCCATTACAGAAAGGATGGTGGATGCATTGGAGAAAGTCCAGCAAAGGGCAATAAAAACTATTAGGAGGCTGGAAAACATGACTTCTGAGAAGAGGCTGAGGGATTTGGGCCTGTTATACAGAAGAGAAGAATGGAGGGGGGATTTGATAACAGCCTTCAGCTACCTGAAGGGAGGTTCCAAAGAGGATGGAGAGAGGCTGTTCTCAGTAGTGACAGATGACAGAAAGAGGAACAATGGTCTTAAGTTGCAGTGGGGGAGGACTAGGTTGGATATTAAGAAAAACTATTTTACGGGGAGGGTAGTGAAGCACTGGAATGGGTTACCTAGGTAGGTGGTGGAATCTCCATCCCTAGAGGTTTTTAAGTGCCAGCATGATAAAGCCCTGGCTGGAATGATTTAATTAGGGTTGGTCCTGCTTTGGGCAGTGTTTTGGACTTGGTGACCTCCAGAGCAGTGTGAGTTTTGACTTGTGCACCAATATTGAGGTCACGTGCACTGTTTTGGATGTGTGCCACGATGGCACCCAATTTATTAACACAGACGGCCACCAGAGCAGAAACTCCTCCCTCCCCTGCCATGCAGCATGCCTTGTTCCCAGCTGCTGGAGCACATTTCCCACTCCCCCCCAACCCGCCATGCGGCAAGTCCAGTTCCCGGCCCCAACCACCGGAACAGGCCCTGCCCTCCCTCTCCCCCCCCCCCCCCAGGC